TGACAGAGCTCATCAACAAACATTACATCTTCCCCCCGACACTTCGATGAGGTACAAGGTGGAAGAGAAGAAGAAGAAGCCTAAGACCATTAAAAAGCACACTTTCACTGAAGTTATGAAGTAGCAATAAAAATAATTTTATATTTGTGGGACACCACAATATAAGGAATTGTACTGAAGGGTAGCGACATTAGGAAGGTTGAGAACCACTGGCCATAAGCCCTCTCCTCACAGTGCAGACTTCCAGATGGTACCAGTAGCAGCTTGACTATATGTCCACCTTGCCTTTGTGTTGATAACCACAGAAGTATCGAGGCCCAAATGTTCAGAAAGCAATGGCAAACTAGTGAATGTCAAATTGCCTAGTAAAACCAAAATAGCCAACAAATGCTGGGGTTGGCTCTGCACATCCTGTGAAGGATACGCAACTAACTTTTTGTTATTTTTTTTTTCTGACTATATGTAAAATGTACAATCACACATAACATTTTGTTTGGTAAGCATCTAACCATAATAACGTGTAGTAATCACAAGCCAAAGGGAAATATTTACTTTCAGAGCCACTCTGGACTTAAGTTTTGCTACAGAACTTGTGTTTTGTGTGCACATCCATTTTACAGATCTGGCTTATTTGTAGGCAGATTGTTGGTTCCTTGCCTGTCAGGCAGATGCACTCCAACTTCAAAGGAAACCCCTAATTGGCAGCTCTTATAAAATGTTTGTTAGGTCTATTCTTTTTTTTTTGCGGGAGGGGGGGGGGGGGCAAAGAGTGAAAGCTCATGCGCCGCTGGATCGATAGCAACAACAATGGGACACCAGCATCCACATGGGACACCAGCACCCCCATGGGTAGATGTGGAGTTGATTCTAAGACCAGAAGGTGAGTATCTACTCATTTACTACCCTTCTACTTCTTCTTCTTCTCTTCCATCATTTACCTCAGTGAGGTGTTGGAAGAAGATGTAAGGATTGTTTCTCTGCTTTTTCCAATGCATTGTACAAGCTAATCTTCATTTCTGTTAGGTTGCTCATAATGATGTCGCTCTATCTCTTGCCTGGTCTTCCCCTTGCTCTATGTTCATTATATTTCTTCAGTGTGGCTTTCTGTACCATTTGGTACCAGGGCATTCTCGTCAGGTGGTCAAACCATCCCATTTGACGTTCTTCAATGAACTGTATGACTGGTTTCAGTCCTAGTATTTTCCAATTTCATTTTTTCTTGTCACACCGGCAGCTTTCCTAAGACCTCTTATCTCTGTTGTTATGATCTTCCGCTCATTAGTTGTAGTAAGAGTCCATGTTTGGCACTGGTAGCCCTTTATAATGGTCTAGTAAAAAAAATCTCTATACCAATTTCACTATAGTAAAAGCGAGCCTTTTTCAGTGTTTCAGTGAACTATATGACAATGCATAAGATTATATATTAAATGTCACAGCCTTTCAGAGGAATCACAGCTGAACAATTAGGTCAAAATTATTCACAGTAGTTTTTGTTCAGCCTTTACTGTAAGATATAATTAATTCAGCTGACAATGAGAATAAACCGATATTCAGCTGCCGTTGAAGAATTACCATTCATTCAGCTGACAATAGAGGCTTAAACATTCATACACTGAAAGGTTAACATTTCATACAACTGACACTGACTGATTAACTTGCATTCAGCTAAACACTTAAGCTAAACATTCATATTCTTTGACATTGAAGGATTAACATTCAGCTGAATTTTAAAGACTGACAATTTATCAGTTCACACTGAAGTTGATACTGAAGGATTAACATTCATTCTGCTGAAATCCCATTCATCTGACAATGAAAGATTTTTTAAAAATCCATCTGAAAATGAAGATGACAAATTCATTTTGAATGCACAACAATGTGCTTTGTGAGCAAAGAGTCATAAAACAAACAAAAATTAATAAAACAAAAAATAGTTCATGACGTTTGTAAGCATATTAATTAAAAACATTGTAAACTTTGTCAATGACTGTGTGAAAAACAAAAAATAACACACACTGGTGGAATGTTAGTTAGTTAGTTAGTTGGGTTATCCTCATTGCACTCCGGACATGTCCATAGGTGCTCAGATCCTCCCCTCAGTATGAACCCCAACGTTCGATGGCTAATAGTACCAGTTCTATGTTGATTGACAAGTCCTCTGGCGTGTCTGGTGTGCGTCTCGTTTTTTGCTGTGCCGATCTTAATTCCCAAGTCTGCCATTCTGGCGAGTGATGTGGATTCACTGCCACCAAAGTCCTCTATCCTTCCCATTTCTCTGACGGCATTGATAATATCAGCATGATCCATAGGCTGACCGTCGGTAGTGATAGCGGATCCAGCCAACCTGTCAGCTCTTTCATTTCCATCGACGCCTGCGTGTCCCGGAACAAAAATAAAGGTGACTCCACGCACAGTGGGCTTCTGTAATGATTCAAGCCATTGTCTTCACACTGAACCTGCCTGAACCCTCCGGATCATACTCATTGAATCACTGAGTATACATATGCGGGTTTATTTTTGTGTTTCAAGCCAGGCAAACGCTTGCGTCACTGCCATTCCACTGGTGGAATGTATAATTCAAGTAGGTGTCATCATAACTATTTAACTCTTTCAGTCCTAACAATTCCTTTATGTGAATCCCAGCTTTTCTTTAAAGTGTTCTCAGTTGTTTACATATGGTTAGAACATACTAGTTAGAGCATACTCAAGAAATCTGGCTTCTCCAGTGAATGCTTTTACTGTCTACTTAAAAGTAAAGTAAAAAAATGAATAAAATGAAACATAATTTATTTATATTTGGAGCTGGCTACAATAGGTTGGGCTGAGTTGTGCTACACAATCTCCAGAGTAAATAGTGAACTCTGTATTAGAAATACTGTGTTTTTAGTTTATTTTAAAGTTGTGCATTTATTACTGTCCACAGCTGTTAATTCCTTGGGCCTTCTTGTTTTTTTTCTCTAATCTTGTTCTGCCTTTCAGTGTCAGGCTTTGAAGATGCATCTGGTAAAAGCCTAGCTTTTGTGCAATGTAGATGATGGTATTCATGGCCTCAGATATTCCATCCATCAATCGCTTGAATGGGGAACTTCTTTTTTTTTTTTTTTTTTTAGTTTTACTTCCATTGTGTCGGCTCTGTGGCTAAGTCGATGTGAACGATTCGCTTCGTAATGCCGGGATGCCAGGTTCGATCCCAGCTGCAGGCAATGCGCCTTGCATTGGTTTCAACAGTGGTATCAAGAAAGCTGACCGTCCAGAAACAATGGCAAACTACTGGATGTAAATTGCCTAGAGAAACCACACAACAGCCAGGGGCTGTTAGGGTTGGTTCTGCAATGTCCTGTAAAGGATACGCAACTAACTTCCATTGTATCTAAGTGATAGGTCCCTCTGTGGTGCACGGTGGCAATCTTGATATATATCCAAACGATTTGACCGGCTTTGAGTTTAGCACGGCTCTGTCCTTTAATTGTTTCATGATATCGACTTCTATCCTTTGGGTATCTGCTGAAAACACCTTCCAACATTCAACATCATAGTCATACAGCAGGTTCTTACAGGTACAACAACTGACAAATGAAAATGCTGGCTGTTCTTCACAGTGTAAGATGTCGCTGGGAATTTTCAGCTAGAAAGAAGGGAACAATTGTGGCAGAACAAAATTGACTTTCTTTATCTACAGCTTCAAGCATGAGGATGGAGGTGGAGGCAATCACTGCAGCTCTTATTTGGATAGCAGAAAACAAAGAAGAGGGATTACTGTGTCTGATTCTCAATCTGCACTGTGGAAGGTTCAAAATGGACTAATGAGGCATGAGTGAATACCAAGCATCAGTATGTGAACATTGCATGGAATTCTCATGGAATTATTATCTGGGCTATGAAGGAGTGTGAGGGAATGAAAGAGTGGATTTTCTGGCTACAAAAGCGATAGCTAAGGGAACACTCTTACCGGACAAGGTAGATATTCTGACAGAAAACTTGCGATTAGATGAAATAACATTGTTAGAATGTGTGAAAAAGGATTTTAAATGGATCTGGCAAGGAAGGACATATGAGACACAGAGAATGATGTGTGTATGTTTATTGTGCTATAGGAAAAGTTAGCATGTACATCTTCAGACATTTGCTGCGGGAGACGGAGCATCTCTGGGTATGCCCAGTGTGCTATGATGTTGACTCTTAAATCAGCAATCAGTAATTACAGAAATCATCCCCATCATGATAAGAATGTGTTCCTTTGCTAATCTGTATGCCTAAATGGCCTCTAGAATCCTGTGTCCACTTTTGTGCCTCCTACTAGTATTCAACACAATTGTCAAACAGCAAGCAGGTCATTGCAGAAAACATGGCTTCCATCATGGCATCCCTAATAAGACTTGCAGTCTTCTTGTCAGTTTTACTTCTTCATTAATTTTCATACCCAAACTTCTTCCATTTAAAGGTCCACTTTTAAGCTTCCTTCTGAGAGTGAAAGAGTTGATATCAAGCAAATTAACAGTAGTTTAAGCCCGGCTCTTTTCTTTAGCATAGTTGGCTAAACCGGATTGCGCGGTGACCGGGTGACGAACTCCTTGTGGTCTGGGTTCACTCCCGTGGGTAGGCAGAAAAGCCCCATTTTCTCCCAGATTCACAGTACCTATCATGGAATCAAAACCAAAGGGTTGCGATATCCATAGTACCGAGCCAAAGGGTTACCAACTCATGGTTTCTGGATGTTTAAAAACAAAAAAAAAGTAGTTTAAACAACACCATTAAACACATACAAAAGATTTAATAACGTATTTATCAAATGAGCAAATAGTCATGAATATACATTCTATACAAGCTAGTTACAGTTACAAATCAAAATGAAACTTTCAACATGTGAAAACTGGCCTAAAGGGTTCAAATGCAAATTTGTTCTGACTAGAAAAAAAAAAACTATAATTATGAAGCACTCAATTACATGATACCTTCTGAATTTATTTTCCATCAAAACGTTGAACCCTTTGGCCAAAAAGTCAGATGTTTGGCAAATGGTCAAATCTTGGTCTAGGCTTGCCTGTTGTTTGATACTTGGGATTTGGTATGGGGGAATATGAGTGGACTGGGCCTACTGTAAACCCTGTTAACTGTGGAAGGGGCTGGAATGGCTGAAAAGACAAATAAACATCCAAATTATGTGACAAGATAGTTAAATGCATGACGTTGCAGAATCAACATCAGCATGTTTTGGCTACTTGTGATTTCACTAGTAATTTTATATTCAGTAGTTTCCAACTGCTGTGAACTGTCAGCTCTTAATACCACTGTTAAAACCAACACAAGGTGATCTGCTGCCAAAATGCCTGAAGGTGGGACATAAAACGTGTTCGCAAGATCTTAGCCAGAGATACCAACTGTGACAAGATATTTAGCGTAAATAGGCATCTCATTGCTTGTACACATATTCTTCTTCTTAAAGTCCATACCATGTCGTGCTGGTAGTCATGTCTATCCGCAACCTTCTGTCTCGTGTACTTTTAATAAACTCTGACAGAGATGATCTTCCATTCCATGATATCAAACTGTTCAGCATCTATTCTCTCGGTCTCCCTTTGCCTCTCATCCCCTCCAACCTTCCTACTGTCACTATGTACTCCAGTTTTTTCCCTTATCACATGACCAAAGAATGTAGATTACACTTTTCTAATGTGGACAATCAGTTCTCTTCGTGAGTCAGTTTCTTTCAAGACAACTTCCTTACTCTTTTTATCTGTTCATGGCATTCTCATTATTCATCTATAAAACCACATCTCCGCAGCTTCCAGATAGTTTTTCACTAATCTACCAACTGTCCATAATTCCCTTAAATATATCAAGGTATGATTTACATCGCTTGAAGAATTTTCTTTTCTGGTCTCATCACAACTAAAAAAAGAAAGACAGTCTAAAATATTCTTCATTTTATCACTTTTTTAAAACATCTGCCATCTGATGTTACCAGGTTACCCAAGTACTTAAACTGACTATATGTGTATAATTAACAATAATTCTTCTGCCTCTGATTCTCCCTTATCTTCTTCTCCTCCTTCTTCTTCTTCTTCTTGTTCGTCTTCTTTACTTTCTTCTGCTTCTGCTTCAACTTCTGCTTCTCCACCTTCTTCTGTTTAAAAAGTTAAAAGTGTGATAATAGTCTGATGTGTCTTGATAACCGACAGAATGATTAACAATAGTGATTGGAACCAACCTCCCCCCTCCCCCCTCCCAAAAAAATCCTCTTCTTCTTCTTTCTTCCAATTTTACCACTCCAGGTGTTGAAAGAGACAGAGGGTTCTGATAATTGTTCATCTGACTGGCACGACCACAGACACATCCTACAGTCATCTCTATGTTGTTATCTTTCTACCGTATTCTTTGCCTGCCACAGGCTCTATATCTGTCTCCTCTCTCATTATAAGCCATGCATTATAACATCACAAGGCATTCTTTCTAAGTAAGGTAACAATACAGTGCCAGCGCCACACCATGTTCAAGACGCTATACTCATATTTATATAGACCAGCTGGCAATTAATAGTCAGCGTGGTTGATATGCTGGCCATCGTCACTTCCCATGAATTTACCTGGCATCCATTTTAGGCTTGGAGAAAATGTTTTATAGATACTTTTAAATCCCACTCAATGCAGGTTTTAAACGACCTTGGGACCAGAGACAACCATCTGGCCACCACACAATAATGGCTCTAATTCTTTCTAAGTGAGCAAATAATTTTATATACTATCATTTGTCTATGTGAAAATCGAAAAAAAAAACTTTCATTTACTTGTAATTTCCCTTCACAGACAAAGTAATGATACAGAATCGGTAGCTGTCATCAGTCAAGTGCCGTCTCTACAAAAACGGGTGCCTGCAATATCTCCAACACACTCTCTTGTCTTGCATGTACACTCCCTCAGACTGCTGTTCATCTCTCTTAATGTTTTCTTCCCACTTATAATGTTGTCTACCTCTTGCTCTCTTGCCCTCAACCTTTTTCTCCAGCATGATTTTTAAAAGTGGAGTATTATGTCTTAAATAAGTCTATAATTTTTTCACACAAATGCTGTATGCCATCTCCATAATGGAGACTGGCTACAGTATACCTACTGCTGTCTTTGGGAATATTATATGATGATGCACCAATTTCTTCCACAGTGCAACTCTCGTACCAATGTGCAAAAACCCTGAGAGAAGTTTTTATTACTATTTCAGCCCTAGATGATTCTGCAGTAGATGTCGGAAGGGGCAGAAAACCACATTTAAAAACAGTAAGAGCTGACATTTAGTAGAAGCCAGATTTCAGTAGTGGGATGTGGAAGAAGACAAGTAAAATAACACAATGTGTGATGGTTGGGATTTACAAGATATAGTTAACACATCACATGTTTCTCAGTACTGAAATAGTTACGAAAAAAACCATGTGCAGCAAATAGCGAATTGTTACATGTATTCACTCACCCAAGTATAATAATGTATCCAACTGAAGAAAATGCTTCTGGAACTACATCGGCCATGCACTCAGAATGGATAGGAGAAGACATCGCTATCAAGCCCATATATGGACATCGGAAAGGAAAAGAAAACGGGGAAGACCAAGAGAAACCCTATGTAGAACCATCATCAGGGAAGGCTCAACCATGTGGCCTAACAAACATCTAAGACCTAAAAACAGGTGGCAACAAATCGCCAGATATGTAAAGCTGTGACCTCTGCCCTATGTGCAGCCCTAGGCTCAAGAGGAAAGACTAACTATGTAACTAACTAAATAACTGGCCTACAATAAAGAAAGACAAACTTACTGCGGGATAGTTACTTGTCCGTGATTTGTTCAGGGTCGCCAAATCACTCTATTAACTAAATAACTAGCCTACAATAAAGAAAGACAAACTTACTGCAGGATAGTTACTTGTCCGTGATTTGTTCAGGGTCTTCCTTGTAGCAGGATCTAGTTTATCATGTCGGTTTTTAACAAAGTCCACCCCAGATTCCCCGTTGGAATCCATATACTGATGCTGAATGAGCTGTAAGCACGTCATTCTGTCTGCTGGGTCCATCCTTAAACAGTTCTGTAAAACCAGCATATTATTTGAAGGGATTTCAAAATCCTCACTTTATATGTCATTCATTCTTCTTCTTCTCCTTCTTCTTCTTCTTCTACATTTGCCCTTAAAAGGGTGGCTGGCACGTTGTGTTGTGGTTTACAGCTAGGCTTCAATATCTGCACTTTTCAGCCCTAAACATCTCATTTAAGTACATTCCTAACTAGTTGCCTTTTTATGAGAAACTTGTTAATGACAGTTGATCAATTCTTTCAACTCCTCAACATGGGGATCAGAAACGCACACACAGAAGATTGTTTCACCATATTTTTCTTAAATTTTTGCTATTACAAAAATGGGGAGACAAAGTTGCCACAATGGGAGTTTTGAGTTGAAATGCTATAGAAAGATTCCCAGAATAACATGGAGCAACAACAACAAAATACTAACATCCTAAAAGATCTGAACATTTTTTTTTTAAACTGTCTAATAAGAGCATCTTCTCTCAGAAACAGAAACATTTTGGTCATATCAAGTGCCCCAGTGATTGGGAAGAATAGTAGCAGAAGGCATGGTGCCAGGAAAGAGGGGCAGCAGCCAACCAGCACACAGATGTGCAGGCGATTTAAGTGACATCTTGGGTGCAGAATAGCACAAGGCAGGAGATCTGGTGAAAGACCAAGTTTCTTTCAGCTGAGTTGTGTTGAGAGTGATGTTCTGCAAATGACCTGTGACATCATGATGACAATGGGACTAAAACCTGCCAGCTTTAAATGATTTATCAGGAAAATACTTTTGAGTGCTGACTGGCCTATAAATATATGAGCCAAACATCATTTTCTTTATGTGTGGAAAGAGTCTTTTTTTTTTTTTAAACTTTGTTTTAAATATTAATTATGACAGTTACTCACTGAAGAAACAGATGGTGAAAATATGAGGGAACTGCAGTCAAGCTAATACAAGGAATTGAAGGGAAATTCTTTTCTTTTCTTTCATTTTATTAATTTATTCTGTCTCTTATCAGTATCATTTATGTATCATTACCATTTGTATTTCTTTTACTCCTATACTATATTATAAATTAACAATATTACTTTTTTTTTAATGACTATCTATTTTTTATTCGTTATTTATTTTATTTTATTTACTCCACATCACATTTTTTTAAACGTTGCTAACATAACTCCTTAGAGATCCAAATACTCTCCTCTTTGTTGCATTTGTGTAGTTCACATTATATTTGGCGAAGGCTGCCGACCGAAGTATTATTTGTGTTGCTTTCTGCACGTTTTTTTGCTTCTCCGTTTCGTTAACCTTTTAGTCACATTTCACTGGAATTCCTTGAAGAAACAGATGTATTTTGTTCACCCCTAATATACTGCCTTTATGTCTGACATCCACAACTAATGAATATTGACAGAACCCATACCAGGCATTTTAATAACTCCAATTCCCTGGGGTTTCTAATTTTTTCACGGGCGACAAAATAAAGAAAACATAGCGGGGGGGGGGGGGGGGGGGGGAAGGGCCTCGATAAGATCCCTTACAAATTTTTTCTTCTAAGATTTATTTGAGTATCTAATAATCATATTATTAATAATAATAAAACGCTGAGTGGTACACATATATAGTAATATATCTGAAACAATATGAAATGTATCAACAACTGCTTAAAACAGGGGACTTCTAAACTGGACTATGGGAGCCCCTAAGCCCACTTACACATTCACTAGGTGGAGAGGGGGGGGGGGGGGGTGCACTAAAGGCAACATTTTTTAGGGACAGCTCAAGGTGTCTGAGCTTTCAAGTCCCCAGGACCCTGTTTGGAACCTCAAAAGGCGGGATTACCAATCAGTACCTGTTAATTCACTTTTTACTTTGTAAAATGCTATCACATCAATTTAAACAACTTAGAATTTATTTCTATTTTGTCATGGGTATACCAGTATATGCATATATAATGACTGCTGTGATAAGCTGATCCTTTCTTTTCATTTGCCTACCCAGCGATCTATATCCTCCATTTTCATTCATAATATTTTCTAATTTTTTTTTTCATCAGTTGCATATGGCTTGAAGTCTTCTATTTTTTTTTTCAACCTTTTCTTCCTTTTCTACCTCCTCTTATAACCTTCGAGGTGATTTTCACACTTTCTGTAACTATTTAACAGCCGCCCTCTTTTCTTTCCATGCCTGTTCAACTTACTTGATCCACCATTGAGGCTGCAAAAATGCAGAATTGGTTGTTCTTAAACATTCCTTCTTCTGAAGGCTTCCAAGAAGGATACTTGCTCTCTCATACTTAAATGGTCTTACGCAATTACAAAGACCTAATCTTGATAGCTGTAGAAATCATGGCATATGGACACTCCATTTTGTGTCCAGAACTGCTGACTGGAGAACAAACGCCAAATCAATAGCCATGTCTGCATCATCAGGTCTCATTGCCATTCTAGTTGACCTACTGTCATTCATACGGACTATTTCTGCATCAACCATGGCCTCAGGGATTACCTCTAACTTTTGTGACAAAGATGGGTAATAATGTCCTGAAAAGGTAAAGTGGCTGTCATGCTGTTGACCACATCACCAACTGAATGTTTATTGGTTTTTATCAGTATAAGTCTACTTTCACTTGCTCAGCATTTTGTGTGTGTGTGGAACCCTAGGTCAAATGGATGGTCATCTCTACTGACAGCCACCACAACTACCAAGGATTGCCAGATTTTGTAAAATTAAAAACCGTGCTGACTCACTATTTGTTTATACTGATATTTTTCCTACTGCTAATAGGTTATAAAAAATACACAATGAACATACTAAACTTATGCCATAGGAACCAAATTTGAGTGGCAAAAAAAAGCAAAGAAAAAAGGAGGAGCTCAGGGAAAACAGAGTATCTGGAAAGTCTATAAAAGGTGAGAGCAAGAGGGTGCCCCTGGAGTAGATGGTCTAAAGAAATGATATTAAAGACAATATATCACCACAAGAAATGGCACAGCCAGTGCTGCCTACAGTGCGCTGGATCACAAACTGTTCCTGCCCATGCCACTTAACGACAAATGTGAAAGTTGATGATGATGATGATGATGATGATGTACTGATTCCCCATAAAGAAGTGTGTATATAGATATTCGATTTCCATAAATGTAAACATTCCATAAACAAATATTCAACAAGTTTACCTGCAGAAAGTTTAATGCCAATGAACTCATCGTTGAATATTTTTCTTCTAATGGCTCCTGTTTCCAAATACATTTAAAAAACAAATATATTAAAAAGTGGAAGAATTAAAATAATATAAATGAATACAGTAAAAAGCTATACATTCTTTTTAAATGTCCATTAGGACATTCCCATCCAAAATACAATTATGAAAACTAAGTTAACCTCCTAACACAAAAGCATTAAAGTAACGTTAATCTGACTACGCCCCGCCCATAAACTCACTAGGTTGATTGTGATTGGTAGTTCCTGAACCTGTTACCTTGGCACAAGGATATGGGGGTGTTCCGCGATGCCATTGATATCGCGTCTTGTATATTTCAGCATGCCATTGCTTTTAACGCTCTTAAAACGTGGAGCAACTGGCCCTAACACCACCCCCCCTCTTCCATAGAGGGCTGCAACCTTCGTTACAGGCATTCTCTTTCTCGGAATGAAAAAGTAAATGCAAGACACCACAGAAAGCAAGCAATAGAGTGGGACACACCTGTAGCCTAAAGGAAAATTGACCAGCCCAACAAAGTTGTGAATGAAAAGTGACCTACTTTGTTTGAGGAGATTTACGTGAACCTAACCCACAAAAGAAACAGACCATAGTATTTAGACTGTGAACTGGACACAGCAGACTCTGCAGCTATATGTATAAGAAATTCAAGATGGTGGTGGTGGGAGCCTCAGAACTTTGCCCATGTGAAACAGGTATTTAAAAACTGAACATATGCTGCAGACATGTTCTCTACATCAGCAGTTTTCAACATTGTCAGGTCTTCCTCCCCCCCCCCCCCCCTCCCTTTTCCACCCTTTTTTTTATCCCCCAACTTTTTTTTTTTTTTAACATTGATTAAAAAGAGGAGGATGACATAAAAAATCCTAAGCAGTATGAACAAAAACTTGGAAAAAAACTTCCACATGAATCCCAGTGTCAAACATAATGTTCTTGGCTTTTTGTTTTATATATAGTTTACAAAAAAATATGTTATTATTAATTAAACTGAATTTTTGTTTAAGTATAAATGCACTCAAACTCAAAATTGTTTGATGCTCCCTTTAAACTTCTATCAAATGTAGAAGGTTATGATAATGATGAAGTTGATGATGTACTGATTCCCTATACAGAAGTTTCCAGTTTTCCTAAGTTGAAAACCACTGCTCTACATGCAGTAGAAAGATCTAGCTAGGTCAGACACTTAGCCTTCTGGTGGAACAAATGTTCTACGGATCAATGGAGAACATATTTCACACCACAGACTTCACAAGAGCACTTTGACCTTCTCCTACGAAAACCACTTGCAGGGGAATGAAAAGGAAGAAGTAGTAGTAGTAACATGTAACCCACCAGACATGTCATAAGTGATAACTAAGGAAGGCTGGGGTAAGACCAAATATCTCATCCCATAAACAACTTTAGCTGCAAAACCCAACCAATCATAACCTGATCTACAATGGCTTTGATGTGAGTTCAGCTAGGTTATCACAGTAAGTGTCACTGTATGTCAGGCATTTCCTTAGTGCTCAGCCCTCTGATGCAGCAGCCACTCCGAGATAACCTCTACTGATTGTTCCCATGAGAATTTGGTTATAATTCCTCCTGTCTTGGCATCTAAGATGGCATAGATGTGCTTCTTCACCAAGCTTTACTCACAGGTTGCTAAATTGTTTTAGCCTCTGAGATTCATCATATTCCACCAGTCTAGTCTGTACAACGTTGATGATATCGGCTCTATCAATGCTTCTTCCAGTATGCATTGGTGCATTACTTGCCAGCTAGTCAGCTCATTGATTACCTTTAACTCCTACATACCTAAATGTGCTGATCCAGGTGATGAAGGTTAAGTATGACTTCCGAATGCTTTCTACCCATCCAGAGTGTAAACTACATGTTGATTTTTTTCTGGAATTATGTTCACGGAGTCTGGAACGATACTGCTTATGTGGCTGGTTATTCTAATGGAAGCTGCAATTATCTTCATGGTCACGCTTGACGTTTTTGCCTAGTAAGTGCCACTATCCTTTTTTATTTTCACATCCTTTGTGCTGTGTCTGCCCATTCTGAACTTGACCCGCACTTCGTAGACCGATCTGGTAGATGATGATGTATGCAGGTTGATGCCTAATTGGGAAGCAAAAGGCAAAAGAAAAAAGCTACAGATTCTTCTCCATGTATATAAGAAAACTGTTTCCTTACAGCTGCTGTCTGTAGCTTAGACGTGTTGAGGCACTGAATATTTCTAAGGTGCTGGATTTAATTCTGGCTGCAGGTAATTTGGCAGCAGAGCGCATTGCATTGTTTTTAACTTTAGCATGGAGAGCTGACCATTCAGTAAGAGATGGCAAACCACTCAACATAAAATTGCCTTGAAAATCACAAAAATTCAGAAAATACTGGGGTTCTTCAATGTTTTGTTAAGGAACTACCTTTGAAGGTTAGTAACACAATGCAGTACTTACTAGTCTGTCAGGTTTTGGTATGCTCATATTTTTGAAGAAAGCATTGTTGGAAAAAATCTCTATATGTCTTGGTATAAGGTCACCTGTGCAAGGAAGACAAAAGTACTTAAGCCTTATTTATACACATACATATAGTTCAAGTGCAAACTGTCAACTATAAAATTAATTAGTAAAACCTCAAGTGGCCATGATCATTATGTAGCAGGTCCTTTAAAGAACCATCACTCTCATCACAGTCTGCCTGAAAGAAACTTAGTCTCTCGACAGCTCTCCTACTTCATGTACTTTCCTACCAAACATGGTCCTGAAAAAGTTAATGACTGCGAGATAGTACATATACCTCATCTGTATGTTGCTACAAGAAAGATACTTTGATTTCTTTGCTGGTGCTTAACCAAAGAGTTTTAATACTGTTTAAGGACATGACAAACAAAGCAATACAATGCATTATATGGAAGCTGCAGTAGCATAACAGCTAGAAGTGTTGCATACTGACCCTAAGGTTGAAGGTTCAAATCTATACTGATATATTATTTAGTCTATAGGTTAAGTGTTGCAATAAATCATTTAAACAGTAAAATAAAGTACAGACTTTAACCACACAGATCAACAAATCAAGTGCTGCAATAAACCATTTAAATCTATAGACCAAGAATTAATAAAGAAACACATAATTTAAGCATTACATTAAGCCATATCAACCTATATATCATCTTGCAAAGAATCATTACATTAGAAAAAAAAGAGCGGAAATTAACAAAAGTCTATCTGTCCGTATGCTCTTCTCCTTATTCTTTTTCTTCTTCAGCTCTTAAAAGGTGGTTGGTACATTGTGCTGTGGTTTACAGCTAGGCTGCAATATTTGTCTATATAAACAGACACATATACAGCCACATCCGACTTTACCAGAAAATAACTCCTTGAAATGAAGTTCACAAACCTAGGGGTCTTTGAATTAGGGTTAATTGGTCAATATCACCAATATTTCAGCCTAGCTGTAAACCACAGTGCAATGAACCAGATTATCCTTTTAAGAATGCATGCTGAAGAAGAAAAAGAATTTATGGACAGATGGACAGGCAGATATATAGCCACATCAGTCTTTAAGAGAAAATAACAACTGACTGAAATGAAGTTCTCAAACCTAGTGTTCTTTGAATGAGGTATAATTGGTCAACATCAGATCTTCCTGGCCAAATGGCTTGTCCAGTGAATAGTTCAGCAAAGACACAACCAATCGCCCATACATCCACAGGTGGTCCATACTGAGTGTCCCCCACTAGCAGCTCAGGTGACCGGTACCATCGAGTTGCCACATAATCTGTGTATTCTCCGCCTGGTCCCGCTGTATCAGAATACATAAGAGGAGAGAAGAGAAGATTAAGCAAAGCTGCTAAGAACAAGGGACATTCATCATCATTATGTTATATAATACAGCATGTCATGTGGTCACAGATGATGCTGACTGTGTGATCAGTTCCCTCCATCTCGGTAGTCAGCTGCAATGGACTTCATGCAAAATAACTAAAAATTGCCTCCCAAAAAGGGGTGATGAGACAGTACCAGATACAATGCGTAGGTAGGTAGTTGTACAACACCAGGACATTAAAAGGTGATAAACACCCAGTGACGCAAAGTGCCACCATGCAGATGAAGATCACCTGTGGAGAGGTCGTAGAAACCCCTTTCAGCCGTGAGGCCATATATTTATGGCCCGGCTACATTCAGAGCCTGCGGCTAAAACTAGGGTGGGACTTTAAATCAAAGAATTGCATTCTATGCAAATGAAATAGAACAGCAAGATGATTTCATTACATTTTACTGGAAAATAAGGAGACCAGACTAAAATTTGTAAACGCTGTCCAGTGTTTGTAAAACAAATATGATCAAATCTGAAACTGAATCAAATACTTACTCAAAACTCTTGCAAACCCAAAGTCACACAACTTGACCTGACCTTGTCGTGTTATTAAAATATTTTCAGGCTTCACATCTCGGTGAATTGTCTGTAGAGGAATAACAATGGCATTAGAATTTTTTAAAAAGGGAGACTAGTAGAAAAAGTTATCAGTAAAGAGTCTTTTAATGCCAGTAGCGAATCGGCCACAGGTGGTAGACTCATATTGTTACAGACCTATTGATACTTGTTGGGTGATGTTTTCAGCATCAATCTGGTCATTTTTTGTTCTCAGGGCATTTCTTGGTATCCTTTTAGCTGGGTTGACCTGGGAGTCGGGGCAACATCAAAACAGTTTCCAATCAACCTTTCTTGATCTGAACCCATGACTTTCAAACTTACTAATTACCCCCTCGTGGGATGCAACTTTTTGTTATTTTGAAGCCCCACCCTGGCTGTTGTCAGGGGCCGCAATATAGCCCGGTCATAAATATGGTCTAATGGCTGAACATGGTTTCCGGGACCTCTCCACGGGTGATCCTCATCCACATGGTGGCACTTTGTGTCACTGGGTGTTTTATTGCTTGTGTGATGTCCTGGTGGGGTAAAATGTACTGCTGCTACTACTACTTTCAGACTGGCATGCAACTGTCTAGCAACTATCTTACCAGTACTCCAGAGAGGTGAGTACTGTGTCAGTATTACAGTACATTCAAATGTGATTAGTCCCAAAAGGACCCTTTTCACTCTAGTGGTAAATCAGGCATAGGTGACAAACTCATATTTTGATAGACCTATTGGCACTTGCTGGGTGACGTGTTCAACATCATTCTGGTGCTACCTTTACTTTCCAGGACACTTCCATGTACCTATTTTGAGCTGAGCTGACCTGTAAGTAAAGGTTAAAAATATTTTCAGATCTGCCTCTGCAAATTCAAACTCAAGACCTTCGGGCAGCCAGGTGATTGTGTTGCCATTATGCTGTTAAAAATCCCAGGAGGCAGGTCTGGGCCAATATTTTCAAACATTCAAATGTCAGATAACTGACCAATCATCCTCACCACACAAGTCCATACACACTTGGATCCTATCTCCAGTATCTACCCCATTATGCGGCGACTGATAACACCAGTTCTGTGTTGGTTTACTATTCTTGTTTGGCTACCTCTATCATTTTCCTGTCAGGCAACACCCATTTTGACATGAACTTCTTGTAGTCTTGTCAAGGTTTCTGACTCACCACTGTCTCCAGAATTATCTGCATGGCCTACCTTCCTGAGAGCACATCGGCATTCAACTGTTACTGGACCCAAATGGAAGCAAAAGTCAGTAATGCTGGAAACCTTTGTACATGCATACCTTTGTATATAGGTGACTAAGCAGTCTGGGGTGAAACTCACTACCTCACCTTTTAAAATAAAAATGCACACCAACCTCTAAGGATTACATCCAGCTAACTTAATGAGTAGCTGGACTTTTTCCAAAAAATACCTTGGCTTCCAGGTTGACCCAGTTTTGAATCTATCCCAGGTAAAGTTCTGGGAAGTAGAGACGGCAGACGTGATGTTCACCACATCACAATCTAGTACCAACTGGTCTATAATAAATAAGTTTAAGTCTAGCCCTATATGCCCAATATGACTTGAGGCATGGAAAAGGGTTTTTTACTTTTACTTTATGTGAATAAGGACCTGACTTTTTGATTTTTTAAAAAGCCAAACATTTTGATTGTGTTGAAGCAGCTACTAAGAGCTTTTACTTATAATTCTGATCTTTATAGCATAATCGTTATTAAAACAATGCATACTGTAGTCCTATTGGGCATTGTTGGAAACCGTGTCACATGGCACTTGCCATATATTCAAGGTGTGGGGGTGTTGCAACCTGAAAAAGGTTGAAAACCACTGTGCTCAAACAAACTAACAACCCTAAAACACTTACGTTGTGGTTATGACAGAAGTTAACTGCCAGCAATGTCTGATAAATGATTCTCTGAACCATTCTCTCTGGCATCCTGCAGACAAAGCAAAACTGTATCAGATTTAAACAACTAAAAACCCATACATTTAGATCACAGTTGAAAACTAGACAGTGGTATAAGTGGGAGGATAACATTAGGAGATAGATGGATGAACAGCAGTCTAAGTGAGTGTAAGTAAAGTGAAAAAGTAAAGAACCCTTTTCCATGCCTTCAGGTGTATAGGACATATAGGGCTAGACCTATATTTTATAGACCAACTGGCACAGGATGGATGTTGTGGTCAGCATCCCGCTGGCCGTCTTTACTACCCGGGACTGCACCAGTACCCACTCAAGGCTGGGTTGACCTGGGAGCCAAGGTCATTTTTTTTTAAAGTCCAACTCTGCTAGGGAGCGAACCCGTGACCTTCTGATCTGCGGCGAACATCTATCGCTCTGCTATGGTTACTCCCAGTCTGAGTGAATGTACATACATGAAAAAGGACAGAGCATACTGGAGATCCATTACAGCCAACCTTCATTCTGGAGATGGCACAAGTTGCCAGAACAGCTGTATTTTTACTTTCGTTAGGAAATCTCCCTCTTAGCCTTCACTGGCTGTCAACTCTGGCACAAAACTCTGGTTGTTTGTCCATTTTTAGGAACTTTAGGTCTGGTTCTAGAACTTGAGTTTTGTACTGGGCATACATTTTACAGAACTGGCTTTTTTATATGCAGACTGTTGGTTCCTTGCTTCAAAGACAAAGTGCACTCTGACTTTAAGGAATCAGTGTTTAGTATCAAACAGATGCGTCTGGTTTATTATCAAGGTTGTGCACCTTGATCGGCTATTTCTACCAAGGGAGTTCTTACTCTCATTGGGTAGGACTAACAAGGAAAGGAAGGTGCTCTTAGTTGAGTTGAGTCAAGAATCAACATCACAGCACTCAGGGCATTCTCAATGTGTGCTCCGTCCTCATCTTCAGCAGCCAGCGCAAAGTTCCAATACTGATGGTACAGGTCACAATCTGGTTGTATGTCCATCTTGCCTTTCCTCTGAGTGTAGTGAGCTGGCCAGACCCTCTGGTTACAGCCAGGTGCCTCATTCTCTCCAGGCCATAATAATCTTGTTTCTCTAGTGATACCGTTGCTTGTTCCCAAAGGGCCGTGACCACATCTGCCTGGTCATGAATGAAGGCGCTTCTAATCATGCAGAACTGTTCTAGAATGTCAGAGATTCGCAAGGCTAAGAGGGTCTCACTCCAATTATGCTCCTTTTATGAAAAATATTAGGTCTGAGAATAATAAAAAACAAAACATACTGGCAACAAGAAGCAGCCATAAGGATTGATAAACCAAGCTGGAATTTTCAAAACATTAAACAAGGTATTAGTCAGAGATGTGCTCTATCACCTGATTTATTCAATTTGTGCAGTGAAATAATAATCATGGTGTGCCAGGAATATTGGTTGGTGGGCAACAATCTGGGATATGTGGACAATATAGTTTTGATCATTGCAAATAATACACAACTCCATGAAATGATAGATATAATTGTAACAGAAAGTGAAAACAAGAGTTTTAGTTTGAGCAGCAGAAAAAAAAAGGAAGTAATGGTAATTACAAAGAAAACTGACCCTACAAGACGCAATATCAAATTAAATGGGACAAAACCTCAAGCAAGCTGGTATGTTTATGTATTGAGTATCCTGATAACATCAGATGGAAACTGTATTAAAGAAGTTAAATACAGACTAATTCAAGCAAAAGCAGCATTTTACAAAATGAAGAATTCTGTATGCAATCTTTCTTTGTCAAGACATTTTCATTACTCTTTTTATCTATCCAAGGTATTCTCATCTTACATCTATAAAACTACATCTCCACAGCTTCCAAATATGTTTTTATTAATTTACCAACGGTTCAGGATTCACTTCCATATATCAATATAGGATTTATATAGCTTTAAAGAATTATCTTTCTCATCTCAGCTGACAAAAAAAGGTTGCATAAAATATTCTTGATTTTGTAAAATGTTGCCTTAGCTTGAGCTATTCTACATTTAACTTCTTTAATACATCTTCTATCTGATGTTATCAGGGTGCTCAAGTACTTAAATATATGCACTTGCTTAAGGTTTCTCTCCATTTACTTTGATCTTGCATTTGGAAGGTCAGTTTTCTTTACAATTACAAAGATAAAGATAAAGCATTTTCAGCATATTGCAGGTTGTTAACAATATGCCCACCAAACTTGCTCAACAGAAACAAAATTGGTGTGAGAGCTGAGGAATCCAGGGAAAACAGAGTATCTGGCAACTCTAACAGAAACACACACATATACACAAACAATATGGACACTGACTGAACAGTTGCAGACTCAGTATGGTCGTGAGCTTCCCCTAACCTGTTGATTATTTAGATAATTTATTGTTTATTTATTATTATGATTAGCTGTCAGTCCAAATATATTTCCACATTTAGCGCCTTGTGTAGATTTGCCAGACAACACAGAAGCAAACTTACCCTCGTGGATATCTGTCGTGTAGATTTGCCAGACAACACATAAGCAAACTTACCCTCGTGGATATCTGTCGAGTAGATCTGCCAGACAACACATACGCAAACTTACCCTCGTGGATGTCTGTTGAGTAGATTTGCCAGACAACACATACGCAAACTTACCCTCGTGGGTGTCTGTCCAGTTCATTCAGAACTGTGTGGTCTACATATTCAAACACTAGATGAAGCCGTTTTCTCCGTCGGAATACTTCAATCAGGTTTACCAGGTTAGGGTGCTTTAATTGCTAAATGGAAAACAAATATACTAGTTGAATATGTGGGTGTGTTTGCGCACACATGTGTGCATGCATGGGTGAGTGCGTGCATGCAGGCATGCGTGAGTGTGTTTTGCTTGAGAAAAAGAAATCACTAGACTAAATTCCATGCATGATATGAATATTATTTAACAAGATAGAAGGAAAAGAAGAAATAGACTGACAGCTCTATCTGACAAATAAATGGCACAAAGGGATGCTGATGATGATTATAGTAAAGATGATAGTAATAATGGTAATGACTGTAGTAAAGATGACTGTGGTGACAGTGACAACTAGCACCTTTCTGTCTTTCCAGAGGATAGTGTTATATTGTGCTATGAGCAGGCATGGGACTTACAGCCCATAGCGATGGCGAGTGTGACTAGCAAGACCCGCAAGCGTTAGGAAAAGTCCTCCACATTAGCACAAATAGCACGAGATCTCAGGACCATTGTCCTAAATGTCTCTCCGCGTCTTGAACCCATGGTGCCCTCATCTACACCAACTGACAAGGACTTATAACCCCGTAACTGCTGCTTCTCAATTTGTTTAGGAGAGCAATTACGGTCAGGGATGAAGTTCTTTCTCTCTGTAGCACAAAGCCTGGGCAGTATTGTAGAGACCATATGTGGCCCATTCATCATGATTTCTCTCTCTACCTGCCTGGTTTATTACAAAGGAAATGGTGGTGGTAGTGATGATGGTAATAATAAGGATGATGATGATGATGATGATGATTTTAGCAGGCTAGAATTGCATTCTGCTGTAAAAGCTGTTAGAGCACTAAGGACAATCAGTTTTCTCCATAGATGGAGACTACAGTCTTGATATTGACCTGGTTGCCACAAGATATGAAGATAAGTGATGTTGTGTATTTGTAAAGTACTGTCCTATCCATATATGTGCAGAAGAAGACACCATTGCCGCAACGTTCATGTTTTGTTTGTGTTTGTTATATTGTGAAGCTCACTGATATACTTTTTGTTCAGTTTTAAATCTTGTCTCTAAAGAATGAAAGATCAGCAGTTTATAACTAAGCCCAAAACTGGTACCACATAAAGTCTTGTTAGGTAAAGGCAGCAGCATGATGTTGATAATGTGAGCCATCAAGGGACGATTGTTCTATAATCAACAAAGTCTGATTGGTCTGTAAACAAACAAAACATGAATCTGGCATTACATCCCTGATGCGCCACTGCCATGTAAGAGTTGAGTTGGGTTGTGTTGATTCAAGAACCGACATCATAGCATTCGGGACATTCCCATAAGTGCTACATTCCCATAAGTGCTCCATCCCCATCTTCAGCAGCTAGAGCAGAGTTCCAGTACCAGTGGTGCCAGTAGGATTCTGAATATACGTCCATCTTGCTATTCCCCAGATCCCCACGTCACTTCCCGCTGCATCACTCTCAGAGACTGTAGTGATCCATTTGCTCCTTCAAATTGTACATGTTCTCCCACAAGGCCCTAACCACGTCTGCCTTATCATGCATCAGTATTCCCCCAAATTGTGCAGAGCCAACCAGTCTATCTGCCTGTTCCTTTCCCACTAGCATGAAAACTGGTGTTTAGTTTAATTTATTGCTCAGCATGTATCACAATTCTATGGCCATGTTGTCTTCTTCTATGCCTCTTTCCATAAACCTTAACAAACTTAACATAAAATACTAATTTTTCTCTGCTCATAATGCGGACTCTGAAGAGCAGGAATACCAACAATGTACTGACTACTGACTGAAGCAAAGGTGACACACGCTGGGGCATGTTTCCTGCATGAAGCAATGTTGCATTCCACAGAATCTCTTGTATGTACAGTAAACTGGAAACAGGGAAAAGACCTACAGGAAGGCCAAAGATATGCTAAGGACACATGCGGACATGACCTGAAAGATTCCAACATTGACACAAACACATGGGAGAAACCAGCTCCAGACAGACTCCTATAGAGGTAGACAGTGAAAGACAGACTGTTCCCCTTTGCAAGAGGCCTAAATCAGCAAACTATAGAGAAGATACTTCTAAAAGAAAATTGGCCTTAGGATAACAGAGTATCAACGTTTTTGTGAAGTCTATATGTGGCAGAGACTGCGACTCCCTCACACAAATTTCTTTATCTTTCAGTGATAGAAATATTGTGCAAAAGTCAGTCTTTACTTATCTTATTCTGCTCTTTGTTCCTAAGAGATAATATTGTATACTGTACAATGTACACCAAACAAAATACATACCTTCAACATTCGAATTTCCCTCATAGCAATTTTTTTAATTAATGGGTCTTCCTCTGACTCCACAAACTTTTTAATGGCAACAATTTGGGAAGTCTCTCTATCTCTGCACTTGAACACCACTCCATAGGATCCTTCTCCTATCCTGTGTAACTTTTCATATTTGTCCATTTTGTCTGTTACCCCAGCTGTGTTCCAGCTGGGGACTTGCTGTTGGCTGCTAGGCAGTTCTTTTCTTGGGCTGAAAGACACAATCAGTTTAAATAATTTCAGTGTAAATAAACAAACATACTTCTTCTTTCTTCTTCTTTTGTCAAAATCTGCTTGTGCCGCTAGGCGTCGCAGTCTATCAGATGATCGGCAACCGAGCCAGGGCGCGCTCAGTCGCTTCATATGCCGTGATGTTATGAAGTCTCAAGTTGTCCGTGACTCCTTCAATCCATCTTCTTCTTGGTCTTCCCCTGCCTCTTGTTGTTTCGATTTTCATGTTGTATGCTCTTGATGCTGGCATCGTTGATTCCATTCTCATTAGGTGACCAAACCATTTCATTCTTTGCTTCTCAATAAATTTAACGATGGGTATGGTTCCAATAGTTCTTGTAATCACATCGTTTCTCACTCGATCTCTTCTGGTTTTATTCGCAGCCATTCTCAAACATCTCATTTCACAGGTGGTTAGTCTTCTCTCATGTTCTTTTGTTAATGTCCAAGTCTGACATTGATAACCTAATGTCGGTATAAAGATTGTATTTATAATTTGTCTTTTTATCTCAGCTGGGACAGCAGGGTGTTTTAAAATTGGGGCAAGCTGGTATGCGACATTGTTGGCTTGTTGGATTCTTGCTTCAATCTCTCTGTCTATTTTACCATTGGATGTAAAGATACTTCCCAGGTATTTAAATTCTTGCACTTGTTTTAGGCTGTGATCTAGAATCTTTATGTCGATGGTCTGTTGCTCTCTACTTATGCTCATGACTTCTGTCTTTTCAGTATTGATCTTCATATGATGCTTGAGGCAACTGTCGTGTAGAAGGTTCATGTGGTCTTGCAGCTGTTTACTATCACTGTGAAATATGCATTGATCATCGGCAAAGAGCAGCTCATTGAAGTCCTCCTGTTTATCGACATCTGTTGGTGTTATGTCTATTTTATTAATATTGTCCATAAATATTATGAAAAGTAAAGGTGATAATACACAACCTTGTCTTACTCCTGATGTTACTGGGAACCAGTCTGTGATGCCAGCTCTTGTTAACAAACATACAACACAGCAAATATGGAGTTTATGCTACAGCCTCTTATTTTTCCCTCCCCTGCTCCTCCTCCTCTGCTTCTTTTTTCTCCTCCTCCTCCGCTTCTTCTTCTTCTTCTATTTCTTTTTTTCCTTCTTTTTCGTTTCCTCTTTCTTCTTATTCTTCTCCATTTTCGTCTTCTTATTCTGCTGCTGCTTCTTCTTCTTCTTTTTCTTCCTCTTCTGCACCTTCTTTTTCTCCTCCTCCTCCTAATCTTTTCTTCTGCTGCTGTTGTGGTTGCTAAAAATTCACTCTGATGAGAATTCTAACTTATATCCTTCTAGACGACAGTTATTATGCCACTCCGCTATGGTAGTTCCTCTGAAACCCAGACACTTGATAAAATCAAGGTTATCCTCAACATCTGAGTAGAAACATCGTAGAAACAAAGGAGTTCTATTGCAATAGTTGTAACAAAGGTGCAAAGTTGTAGACATTTTAGATATTTTGGTCAATTAATCAAGTGCTGTCTACACTACAGTTCTAACACAGGTAGCCAGGTGATCCATACAAAAGTCTGCCTAATCATGTAGTGGCTACGACCCAGATTTGGATATCACTTGAAAAAATAAAAAGGAATAACCATCTACAAGTCACAGAGCTATCAGATTGTTTCTGACCTCTAAGCAGTAACCGTGGTGGTGTAGAGGCTAGATGTCCTGCCTCCGGCCTGAAGGTTTTGGATTTGACTCAGTATCCAACTTTTTTTTTTCTCCCCAAAAAAAATTTTAAAACATATGCACACATAAAATAGCCTTAGATCTCAAGCTGATCCAGCCTAAAATGGGTATCATGTAAAGGTAGCCAGCATGATGCTGACCACATGATCCATGGAAGGCCGAATTGTCTATAGAAATATGGGTCTAGCATCATGTGACCGATGTGTCACTGGTGTGAATAGGGTCATTGACGGATGTGTCACTGGTGTCAATAGGGTCCTTGACTGATGGATGAGTCACTGGTGTCAATAGGGTCCTTGACGGATGCATCGCTGGTGTCAATAGGGTCCTTGACTGATGGATGAGTCACTGGTGTCAATAGTGTCCTTGACTGATGGATGAGTCACTGGTGTCAATAGTGTCCTTGACTGATGGATGAGTCACTGGTGTCAATAGGATCCTTGACGGATGCATCGCTGGTGTCAATAGGGTCCTTGACTGATGGATGAGTCACTGATGGATGAGTCACTGGTGTCAATAGTGTCCTTGACTGATGGATGAGTCACTGGTGTCAATATGGTCCTTGACTGATGGATGAGTCACTGGTGTGAATAGGGTCCTTGACTGATGGATGCATCACTGGTGTCAATATGGTCCTTCACTGATGGATGAGTCAATGGTGTCAATATGGTCCTTGACTGATGGATGAGTCACTGGTGTCAATATGGTCCTTGACTGATGGATGAGTCACTGGTGTGAATAGGGTCCTTGACTGATGGATGCAACACTGGTGTGAATAGGGTCCTTGACTGATGGATGAGTCACTGGTCAAAATAGGGTCCTTGACTGGTGGATGAGTCCCTGGTGTGAATAGGGTCCTTGACGGATGTGTCACTGGTGTGAATAGGGTCCTTGACTGATGGATGAGTCACTGGTGTCAATAGGGTCCTTGACTGATGGATGAGTCACTGGTGTCAATAGGGTCCTTGACGGATGCATCGCTGGTGTCAATAGGGTCCTTGACTGATGGATGAGTCACTGGTGTCAATAGGGTCCTTGACTGGTGGATGAGTCACTGGTGTCAATAGGGTCCTTGACTGATGGATGCAACACTGGTGTCAATAGGGTCCTTGACTGATGGATGAGTCACTGGTGTCAATAGGGTCCTTGACTGATGGATGCAACACTGGTGTCAATAGGGTCCTTGACTGATGGATGAGTCACTGGTGTCAATAGGGTCCTTGACTGATGGATGCAACACTGGTGTCAATAGGGTCCTTGACTGATGGATGAGTCACTGGTGTCAAAAGGGTCCTTGACTGGTGGATGAGTCACTGGTGTCAATAGGGTCCTTGACTGATGGATGCAACACTGGTGTCAATAGGGTCCTTGACTGATGGATGAGTCACTGGTGTCAATAGGGTCCTTGACTGATGGATGGGTCACTGGTGTCAATAGTGTCCTTGACTGATGGATGAGTCACTGGTGTCAATAGGGTCCTTGACTGGTGGATGAGTCACTGGTGTCAATAGGGTCCTTGACTGATGGATGCAACACTGGTGTCAATAGGGTCCTTGACTGATGGATGAGTCACTGGTGTCAATAGGGTCTTTGACTGGTGGATGAGTCACTGGTGTCAATAGGGTCCTTGACTGATGGATGCAACACTGGTGTCAATAGGGTCCTTGACTGATGGATGAGTCACTGGTGTCAATAGGGTCCTCGACTGATGGATAAGTCACTCGTGTCAATAGGGTCCTTGACTGATGGATGAGACACTGGTGTGAATAGGGTCCTTGACTGATGGATGCAACACTGGTGTCATTAGGGTCCTTTACTTTACTTTAAGCCACAACAGATGTCACTTTAGCTGAAGATTGAAATTTTGTGACATAGGATTTAAAAAATAAACTGCTTTTAGATATAAGATGGTCTGTGAAACAATTTCCTCTGGTGTGCCAGTCTGTGGGTGTAAACAGGATGAAGAAGTTTGGTCTACACAATAGAGGTATGCTGCAGTGGTTCTTCAACACACTTTCATCCAGGTAATCTATTTTCTCAGATTGTTGTTCATCTGTCTCTTACTGCAATTCATCCTACTTGTGGGACTATATACCTCTTGCTCACTTGTCTTTACATTTTTCCTCCAGTGTGTAAAAAAAACAGGGCAGGTGCTCTGCGCTGGACACATTATTCAGCGGTTAGTGAAGAGGGAGTGAGGAGGAGACGATGAAGGAATGGGGAGAGAAGAAGGCATAGAAATTGGAGGGCGGGTGCTAGGAGAACAAGGCGAAGCATCGGAACTCTTTGCTGGCTGCTGAAGATGGGGACGCAGCGCTTTTGGGATTGCCCCGAGTGCTGTGATGTCGGTTCTCTAATCAAATCAAATCTTGAATCCTCCAGTGTGTTTTTTATCTTCTTCTTCTTCTTTGATTCACCTGAAATAAGTTGTCTCTATCAGCAATTTTGCCTTTCGCATAGTGGTCCATAGAGTTTACATTTCACTGTTGTTCTTTCTGACCAAAAGGTTTGCCTTTATGTGTCAAATTCAGTGCAGTCTTTGAGTACATGTTCTGCTGTCTGGTGTTCCACAGGTGCACATTGCTGATACACCTATCTTGAATTTTGTGGTTTTTATAAAAGTATTATGACTTGTATTATGCAGGGTAACTATAATATCTTGAAGGTACTGTTTTGTAAGTAAGTACTATAATCACTATGTCATGACACATTTCATAACTATAAAATGAAATTAACAAAAATTAGAGTGCATGCATGAGTGAATCTGGCATTTGTAGTCTGCATTGAACAGCAATTTCAATAAAAATGATCAGCGATTTGATGACTGATAGCTAAAATGTTGTATCTGCTTAGCAGTCAAGCTGAAATTATTAGTTAGTACTTGCTGCCCAGTGATGTTTATTTTAATTTATTACATTTTTTATAATAGAAAACTTTGTGCTTAACAAGTTTAAGCAAGATGTCTTTTGATAATTATTATTAAGTTAAAAATTTTAATAATTTAAGCCAAAAGTTTAAACTGCCAGTATGTATCCCTAGGAGAGAAATGCGGGTGGAGAACAAATTTCCAAAAGGGTGTCGTGAAAGATGATTAAGTATTATGTGTTTGCTTAGAGTTGCAGATATCGCAACCAAGCAGTAAACTACAACATGACATGTTAGCGGCTCTTGTATTTTTTAGGGCGACCGCAGAAGAAGAACGAAACAGGCACTTAAATTAGTTTTCATCATTTACTCAGTGCTACTTAAACTTCTTCTTCTTTTTTTTC